CCCGAAAAACCATAAAGGGGTTATCCGGAATATTGAAATTGGATTTTAATGTTTGCACAAAAACAGACAGAAAAATTTATTCTGATAATCTATATTTTCATTATTAATTAAAATAATTTGCGAATTTATTAAAGAATTTATGTGCCACACACTAAATTCACTAACCTAAAACAGATGTTGCAGCCGAGAGCGTTAAGTACAATATCAAAATTCGTAAAAATATTTAAAGTTAAAGTAACAGCACGAAAGTGAAAAATAAGAACACTTATTTTATAACAATAATAAATCTCTAGAGTTTATCATAATATTTATCAATTTTGTGAAGAAACAGCCAGGTAATAACTTCCGTAGCTGAACAGTTTCATCGCGAAAGTGCACGTGTTTTATAGAACTGACAACTTTGGGATTATGGATCGTGGTCTATTTGGACTCAATCTTAATTAAAGAGATGGGTGTGCTTGGACCAGATATCAGCACATAACTAGACCACCTACAGCAAAGTAGGCAAGATGCATGCCAGAGCGGAACCCAAACCCGCCTATAGTGTGAGACCACATGTATTTCAGGCCCCAAAACACGAAACCCATCTAAATAACATAGAAACTTCGGTTTATATTTCCAAGGAAACACACGCTGGATCTCTCTAAGCTAATCACATACAGGAAATAAGTAGATTGGATCTGGCGATGGGGCATAACAAACGGAAGTACAGTGACTGAGAATAGTTCTTTCTAATGAACTCAACAGAGCAGGTGTCTCCCTCTCACCTGAGGGCGGAAACAGACCCATACTGACCTATAGTGATATTCATATTGTCTTTGCATTAGGCGAATAAATTGAGCGCACAATGAGGGGTTCGTATAGGCTATGTTCATTCGTACTTATATTTCACTTAGGAATTTTCATAAAATTATTACCGGAAATCCAAATTTCAATTTGTCAGAGGAGTTTTAATTTAACTTGTATCTGCTGATTCTAATCCGGAATTTAAAGAACTAGAAATAAATGTCTCATATTTACTATATTTATTTCTTCCTACATGGCTATTTTCTTTTCGTTTTGACTAGGTTTTATTTCAGGGGGGTTGTAATTCCTTTATTACCAATATGTCATACAAGTATTATTGAAAGAGAAGAAATACATACATACATCTGATCTGTGAGGTTGGGAAGCAAACCCACAATTAATTTTGACTTCAATTCTGTCTGCGTCCCAATATTTGCAATATAATAACCAAAACCTATGTCATATCAAGAGTCCTTTTAATAAGTCACAAATTTGAACATTCGAACAAATAGAAATTACGCAATAAATCTTCTGAAGTAATCTGTCAGACAGATGCATTTTCGTGTGTGTAGCATGAATCGGTGTCCCCATTTGTGAGATATGTAGCGATCGACTACAAAACTCGACGTTCGCCTCATCAGTTGCTTTGAGGTTGTCTCCAGACTCCATGGTCTGTAGTCCGCAAGCGAACTATACCGACCCAGCTACCGCCGCTTGTCGGCTAAGTTAGTTCCAAATTTAGCGGATAGAGGGTGTCACGTGGTTAGCGCAAAGGATCCCCACGGCCGTTAATCTCGGTTTTCTAGACCGGAGCCTCTACTTCCTTGTAATAGCTCTTCAATTATCTTCATGAGGCTGGGTGGACCCCGTTCCAAACCCATTGCTTCTCAGAAAAATCTGGTAGCGCCGGGAATAGAACCCGGGACTTCTGGATCTGTAACCAGGAACTCTGACCACTAGACCACTATGAATTCAAAAGTTGATAAAAAAATAGGCTTTACACTTTATGATAGGCTGTTTTCTCCATATCAGAATTCACTGGCACATTTTCATTTCCTTTAGAGTCTACTTGTGACCTTACTACAAATTGTTACCCACGTCGTCGTTAAGTTCGAGGTATCGACAATAATAAGAGTCAAGCTCGATTTGTATGCGCAGGCGCCATCAGTATAACAGTTATTATGTCTACCATTGCTCCAGAGCTCTGAATAGTGAGCACCTCTACAAGAAAGAAATATGAAATTATCACATTAACACCTCCATTTGTATTTTATCTCTGTCTTCCAGGACTTCCTGTAGCACTTAATGAGCACGACTGGTGCCAATGGTCGCAGTGCAGGTGAGCCTTCCTCAGTTTTCGCATTGCTGTGCACTAGAATGTGGTTCAACATCTCGCGTCATGTCGATGCGTACATACAATCTTACATATATATATATATGTGCGTGTGTGTACGTACGTATGTATGTACATGTGTATGCACGTATGTATTTATGTATGTATGTACGCATGTACGTACATATGTATGCACGTATTTATTTATGTATGTATGTATGTATGTATGTATGTATGTATGCATGTATGTTATGTACAGCCCGGGTATTTAGAAGTGACGGTCCTCCGACGCGGGGTAGGAGAATAATTTATAGTGGCGGGGAGAGCTCCAGCATGCTGACAAGTGTGGAGGGGAATACTGTGCAGGCGTTCTCAAAAGGAAATAACTTCTTACCTCATTGTGTTGCATAGCGTTGGCGGTTTAGTCTCGATGATGTTCACACATCCGATGTTAAGTTTTAAGTGCCGAATGGCAGACTTTTATGCACTTTACACTACTGTACACTATACACTATTATACACTTTTCACTGTTATATACATTAAGAGTTTATTTACATATTACACAGGTCTATTCTAAATGGGCAACACCTGCAATGTCCGCATAGATATCATCTCCACATGCCTGTCCTTCCTCGTCACCACCAGATGAATCGGAGCTCTCATCAGAACTGTCAACACTATCACCGCCAGCATGGAAGACGAACTCCCGTCCTGCGTCCAAACGGCCTTCCCGTGCCATTAATTGCTGCTCAATACTGAAAGTGGCTAGTGGAGATTTCCTAGCTCTTTCTTTATGGGGTGTCGAAAAGGAAGTGGAAGCCCCAGATTCGATATTTTTTGTTTCTTTTATTATTCTTCTGACACTACTTTCCATTACATCTGTTGCCTTTGCTACTTCCACTCCTATGTTCTTCACTCTAATTGTCGGTCCAGCCTCTTTCATGTACTTATATACATTACTAACAATTTCTCTTGATTGTGAATGCAACACTTTTCCCCTCAATTTACTTGGTGTAGGTGGCATATTAAAGGAGATAGAAAAAATGTACAAATATAAATACACAAAAAAGAAAATCGACGAATAAAAATAAACAAAATAAAATATTAATACAGTAAATAGAGAATAATACACTTAAATACGACTCCAAGAGTCAAAACTTTTTAACTTGACTGTACAAGAGAGAATGCTTTTAACTGAGCTAGAGACGTCTGGTCGCACTGAAAACAAACGAATGACTAATCACAACACCCCCAACTTTCACGAATGGACCTGCCCATCCACTGCGCAGCTTTTCGTGGACTGTCACTTCTAAATAGCCGGGCTCTATGTATGGACACTGTAGATTTTTGCCAGATGGCAATGGAGGAGTGAATGTGACCGCTGACCTTCATCTCGAGGTGTTTAAAGACCCTTTAAACGTTGTCCTAAGCACGGCTATTAGATTAGAAAATTTGTTCAACCTTGATAATATTGTGGGGTGCCGCCTAAAAGCCGGAATATCTGAGTCAGAGCGGGCGTCCATTGCTAGACAACGGCTCGAAGTCACGTTCCTGCATAGTTGTATGGGTGACAAACGCGTCACGCGACAACGCATACTGTGAGGAGCGGTTTTAAAGCCACAACCTGCGCATCTGCTGGGCGGGGCTTCACCGGGAGCGTTCCTGTGGTAACGAGAAATACACCGTTGCCCTGGGTTTTAATGGAACTATTGGAGACATACAATGTATGTATGGTAACGACATTCTGAACGGACTGCGTCCACGGATATTACAAAACGGAACCCTTCAAGGTGATTCCTATCCCATCCGCCTAGCAGGAATAAAGGGAGAACGGTTCAGAGATCAGAACTCACCCATATTCTCGTCAGAGAGGATGTTACATAAGGACTATTACCGCAAGAATTAAGCTGGGAAAAAAGATCTCTGATCGTGGGCCTCAAGCGGCAGTAACTTTGACTTTGACTTTGACTTTGACTTTGACTTCAGAATTCAGAATTGAAAGACAGAACAGAAGGGAGAGGAGAGTCCAGGAGACCAGAGGTGGAGGGCGCAGACAACAGTGAGGGATTCTGTATCCAGAAGGAGTTGAATTTGCGAATTACTGTAATCAAGCGTAAATGTTAGTAATGTCCAATAAACCCATGGAACAAAAACTAAGAATTTGCTAGCACCACCCTCGTTAAGCCGCCTATTGTAAATAGAAATACAAACCCTAATGATCATAAGCATGTTGCTCCGGACACGTGATAATATGACAGGGAAAGGACGGGCCCAGTAACATTCTGGACGGTAGAGACAAAGAGAAAAATACCCAATGACGGAAGTCGGGAATCTGCTTGGTGACCCTGTTTTTAGTCCACCACCACAGGCTCAACCTCAAGCCCCATAATATCACAATTAATCATCGTCTGTGCTGTCTGCTACTGAGTGAAAAAAAAAAGTTGGTAATTTTAACAAAGTTCCACAGCAAACAACACCAAGCAAACAAACATTGTTAACAGATAAAAGGGTGTGATAGCACAACAGTACTGTGACAGATGTTCCAACTCATGAAGAAAACTGCAATGGCTGGGTCCTGTCTTGTGAGGACATCTTACGGGCATGACGTGACATACCAAGGAAAGTAAAGAAAATAAAGATGATTTTACTTTACCTTAAAAGTGACGTTTGCTGCACTGAAAAAGAAGGCAAAAATGACAGAACATTTGTTCAATAGGATCTCGTTGCTTTTCGAGTGGTGATACTTTAGGCATTGATACAATGCATACAAGAAGCACTGCAACGACTTCTCAAGAGACTTTAATGGACAGATGGAACTGGAATTAATGAACTGTATCTCAGAGTGACAATTCAGTGTGCTGATAGCAGCATGGGCCAGATAAACTTAAAGAATGAACGAAAAACGGCAAAGAGAATGGAGGGCTGTTGATGATGATGGGCGCTCTGGGAGAAAATCGATCGTAACCTCTGTAGAGGTCAAGGAGCAGATCTATCAGCATTTCCCGAACACCAGAATAATCAACGTTGATTAAATTGCATCTGAAATGAGCAAGAATCATGAAAGAATCAGTGCAGCAATGGCTTATATGCACCAAGTGCATTCAAACGCAGGGAGACAGCATCTCAGAATTTACAGCGATGGGTGGTAGGATGGTTAGTGAATTGGAATGCATATTGAAGAAGTTATCGTGGCCTGATCTGACGTAATGTCGCGGCATTTGTGTAGAGAGATGGAGGAAAGGCGACAAACGTCAGTCAGAACAGCCGATGTTCGGTGTAAGTTGAACCCTGAAATTGAGCAATAAGAACCAGGGCTGCTTCCCACCGATCACCAAATTCGATGGCTGTGTAGGAAAGTTTGACTGGCCTAGTCTAATTACAGTCTGATTTGTTTTGTCGGGGCAAATAAAAATATACTTTATTGATCACCTCTGTGGTCTAGTGGTCAGGGTTCCTGGCTTCAGATCTAGAGGTCCTGGGTTCGATTCCCGGAGCTACCAGATTTTCTGAGAAGGAGTGGGATTGGAACGGGGTCCATTCAGCCTCGTGAGGATAACTTAGAAACTATTTCAAGGAAATAGCGGCTCCGGTCTAGAAAACGGAAATTAACGGCCGCGAGGTTCCGTTGCGCTGACCACGCGACAGCATCTATCAGCCCAAGTTGGCACTAACTTCGCCGACAAGCGGTGGTCGCTCGGTAGGTATAGTTAGCTTGCGGACTAAAACCACGGAGTTTTTTTTTGTATTCTGTTTAAATTTTATCTGTTTTACAATAAAATCTTCCATTACATTATACAGATATTTACGCAGAGGCACAGAGCTAACAGGGCAGACTATAGAAATTTTAGCATGTTCTGAGAAAAAAATTCTGTAGATTCCCTCGGAGTTTTGCATGGTTCATTGCGGTTTATTTGACGGCTCTGTCGGCATCCTAGACTATGTAGCGTCAAATGGTCTGATGTTTGGTGAGATAATCACCTGGAAAGGATTTTAAATAAATCGGATGTAGCCTAATCGAAATAGACTTACTATCCCGGTATTTGGCCGCGCCATAGCTCAAGCGGTTAGTCGCTGACTTTCCACCGAGGCGGCCCGGGTTCGATCCCGGGTCTGGTCAAGTGGGATTTGTGGTGGATAAAGTGGCGCCGGGGCAGGTGTTCTCCAAATACTTCGGTTTCCCCTGGCAATCTTCATTCCACCGACTGCTCCACAATCATCCGCACTTATCGTATGGGGCTGGTAGAATAGGCCAGAAGTGGCTGCCGTACAAGAAACTTAGTCCCACCCCACTAGCAATAAAAAATCCCGGTATTTTGACGGAGGACTTTAGGCACACTATGAAAAAAATTCAATCTGTTCCGGCCGAGATTCGAAGCGATTCAATATAATTCAGGTTTACATTTACACCGAACTGCTTGGGATTTTGCGTGGACTTTGCTGTGTATACATATGAACTAAACGTCCTGGGTTCCAAACTGATCAGGGCTCGGATTTCTTTAAATCGTAATCAGAAGGACGGCGGTAATCCTTAAACGGTGGACAAGCCAAACTGAAAAAATAAACCGACTGGTCAAAAGACGTAATTGATGGGGTATGCACTTTCTTCTTGTTTGCACCCATGGGACATGCAGGCCTAATGGCCTGTCATAGCTGACATGTGAAACAAATTATAGCTCAGAACAACAACGAAAATTAAGAGAAAATTCATCAACGAAACTGTTATAACGACAGTTGAGTTCAGTTCATTCCCCCTACTTTACTGGGATAACTCATAAAATCAAAGGGCAATACAGAAAAGTAAAACCGTACATCCACACTTCAAGTGTGACTGGACTCCGCAAACCTACGAATTAGGCGACGAATTTCTTGGACACCTAACACAGCATACTCGACTTAGTTTATGGAAATACTGCCAAATCAATAATGTGATCAGATAACTGTTGATTTTATATTGTCACATGTACGAGTGACTACAGACGGGGTTTGGATTCGTAATTGGATTTACTGACCCTTACAGATCACAACTGCAAGGAATTACAGTGCCATCGCTCATTCACACAATCTTCACTTTAAACAGTACACACTGCGTCTCCTCAGTTTGTTTTCACTAGCCGTTTCTGGTAACGGATCCTAACAGTGTCCTCTGCTTACCTCCTTACCGGATGGCGAATATCTCACAATTGATTGAACCTAGACTTGTCCCGCTCATAACTCCTCGGCACGGACCGCAAAGAGAGTACTGTTCCTTTGTTGCTGTTCGATTGTTTCTCGTTAGGATTCTGTTGCCTAGCAGCGTGTGTTGTTTATAGAGTCATTACTTAGCAACGGGGGCACGCGGTAGCGTAGTTGGTTGAAGCGCTATGCTACAAGCCGGAAGGTCGTGTGTTCGAGCCCAGATGATGTGGATCCTTTTCAATTTACATAATCCTTCCAGTCGCAATGTGGCCTCAGCCTCCAACAAAAATGAGTACCAGGAATCTTCCTGGGGGATAAAGAGCAGAAGAAACGGACCGAGGGCAATTAAGGGTCCCGGAAGAAGTTGGCCGTCGTCCTCTAAGGATGAACCCCCGTGCCATCCCTCCACCGCACAAGGGGCACTGTCGGCATGGACCAGGCAGGGACAATGTTGCAAGAGAAAACTCGATATAAGGGACATTCGGGAATGGACGTTGGGCGGAACCGGAAGGCAGCAATGGAGAATTAAAGGAGAAGCTACGCCTAGGAAGTGAGAGGACATCCGGTAGAATCTTCAAGAAGGCTGTTGTGCTGGAGATAGTGAAGTTAAGGGTCGAGCTTTGAGCTAGAATTCGAAAAATAAGTTACTGGATATTGTGGAAGGGTCGACCACCTCCGAAGAGAAAGAAGAGTAAGAACTGGAGCTGTAGGAGCATTAACCACTCTCGGATCTTTGACCTGCACAGATGGGAAAAAGAGGAGGATGGTGATAAACCTGGACCAATTGACACGTTCGAGACGAGCGGTCTTAAGGAGGGAGCCGTTGGAGAGTAATCACAGCGAGAAACAAGCACAGCCCTCGGAAAGGAAGGAACGGTGACACACCGATCGGCTACTTGGGACGAGCTGCCTAAGGAGTGAGCAATATGGTATACTTGCTCAAAGTAAGAACTGTGATCCCAGTGAGAAAGTAGTTGCTAGCTAACGGCTCTCAAACAACAATGGCCGCGAAACAGCCAACGAAGTGACGCCCGTTGTTAGGAAGCAGATTCTTAGCAAACAGAAATAGACGGTCGCTGCTAGGGTACGGATCGGTAAACACGTTCCCGCGGCAAGGGATACGTATGCAGCAGAGGAACGGTGTTTTCTACATGGTACTTGTCGAGATGTAAGCAAGGGACAATATTAGAACTTGGTCACTTACCCTGTGAAAGAAAGTCTTAGTTGGAACAAGAGTTGAGATTTGCAAAGGAGCCGACGTGCAGACAGGACTTGAGCCCGGAATTGCAATTGTTAGAATCTGTTACGAAGCAACTATTAGTGAAGATATTGCGGACTGGAAAATATTTAGCGCGTGCTGTTGTGATTTTTAAAGAGTGGAAATTAGCGGTTGCGCATAATTCCGTGTAATTACAAGTTGTGTGCTCAAGTGGTCAATAAATCCAACATGCAATCCAAAACTCCGCCGAGAGTCACTCTAAATCGTGACAGTGTATAACACCCTTTCCTCTCAGGTCTTGTTGTTAGGCGACCAAAGTGACTTCTATATACCCTTTGCAATTTTGTTCCTCATCTACAATTTAATATAAAAAAAAACAACAGTATTTGGCGCCATGTCAGTAAATAGTACAAATGTTGCTTAACGACCACACTGTTAGACTTCCAAATTAATTATATAAGTACAGCTAGTTTCAATTTACGCGTATAATTCAATTTATGATATTAGCACAGATATCTAAACCTTCAGACAACCTTCATTTGGATCATGAAGACGGAAGCAATAAATTCTTCCGAAACATGGAAAATGTAATTTCGTCACGATGTAATTCTCAACAGACTCTACAATGAACACGGAACGCCGTGAAGGTCTCATGCTTCATGTATGGATAAAACTGTTACAACTCCATCAGCGTAAAATCGAGACACACGCTGCATTCCTGTTACCTGCACACGATGGTTTTCCTTGTCGCAGACATAGATGAACCCAAGGGCGTCAGTTGTTATGCCCCATGGGTAGTTGAAACGGCCATCCGCAGTGCCCTGGCTCCCGAATGCTCGCAGGAAACGGCCTGATGGATCCAGCACCTATAATGCAACGGATAGAGACTCTGCGTCAACCGTTTAGGTTATGTAATGTAATACGACAGGATGAATGACAAACGGGGAAGTAAATAAGAGGAATCTATGTGCTGTTCCGACATTTGGATGAGGAGGTACATCGGCGAAGAAAGTCAGTTTTATCTTAATTGAGGATGGAATCACAAAGAAAAAGTGTCAAATGTTTAAATTTCGTGAATATGATTATGTACTTTTGGGCCTCTTAAAAGCAGAGAATAATTTGACCGATTAAAGGACCACGATTTTTTCAAGAAACATCCTAAAACTTGAGGTTACTTAGTCAACTAGTTGGCTTATATTATATTATACAATACTCGTATATTATAAACTATAATAGATTGGTTTCTTATCTATTCATTATTATTGTAGTTATATCGATAAAAATGTAGATACTGAATATTTGTTTGCGAATGTGCGGCAATAGTTACGCTCTGCCTGTCGTCTTTAGGCAGTTTGAAGCTCTCGGGGGCGCCTATTAAATTAACTTCGCCTGTCCGTCTTACCTTCTGTACGCATTATATAACTAATGAGCCGCTGGACTGATGTTAAGAAATTTGATACTGAAAAGTTTTAATAACATTCATCAACATATTTCAGTTTTGGTTAAAACTGGACAAAAATATAGAATATTTTACACACAGAACTACATGCGTTTCTGCAAGCATCTGAACAGTGACTGTCAGAAGGAAACATCTTTCGAGTAATGGGTGCAGACAGACATGAAGCACGAAATTTATGATAAATATAATTTCTCAGAAAACCTTACAGTTTTTGAGTAAATCGAATAAATGCATGCGATGTGTAGATTTCCTCTAGCTTCTATATTTAAAATTCAGCAATGATTTTCGCAACAAACGAGGTTACAGAAGTACCAGTATATTCTCTATAATCAATAGATGCATACATTTATAAATATATAAATTCAATTAAGATATAATTGCTGGGGGTCTGTCTTTCTCGACCATAATAAGGTAATCTACACGAAAGTATATGCTCCAGTTGTTCCAGCAGAAGATTGCAATGAAGTAAAAAGTTAAAGTAATTCTTGAATTTGGACCGTGTTTAAATCAGATTTATTTTATTCTTTCAATGCAAAGCTTTTTACAGCAAGACCTGAAAGCACATATTAAGCAAGTTATGTTACATATATCAAAGTATCTTTTAATCTGTATCATAACTAAAGAGTGATTCCATCACACCGCTTCCTTACTCATTCAGCATGTAGAGTAAATTTTCTGTGGTCTATTGATCAGAGTTCCTGGCTACAGATCCAGAGGTCCATGGTTCGATTCCCGGCGCTAGATTTTCTGAGAAGTAGTGGGTCTGGAACGGGGTCCACTCAGCCTCGTGAGGATAACTGAGGAGCTATTTTAAGGAAATAGCGACTTCGGTCTAGAAAACCGAGATTAACGGCCGTGGGGATCCGTTGCGCTGACCACGCGACACTCTATATCAGCTAAAATTGGCACTAACTTCGCTGACAAGCGTGGTCGCTCGGTCGGTATAGTTCGCTTGCGGACTACAGGCCACGGAGTTTGTTTTGTTTCCTTGTCTCGTGAACGTTAATACTCACAAGACCAACTAACAGTGAACAGCTGCACGCAAGTAAAGGTTCCTGCATTGTATGAGAATTTATTGCCGTCTCAGTTATTCAGTGTATGTAAAATAAGGCACTTTTTTAGAATTACTGAGAATCATTCATTTTTCTCACATTAATTAAGTTTATTAGCCCACCTTCCTAAAGTAGGCTTATGAAATCTCCACGCTACCTATTTCTATGAATCCCCTTAATACGTAGTAACTTATCAGTAAATCAGTCTTTATAAAACTTCGTATATCATGGCACCTGAGTCAGTCTCAAAGGCGTACTTCATAAATGCCTCCCACCAGTCTGTGTGTTTGTATATGTTACTAGCAAAGGCTCGGTAAATTATGCACCTCCTTTCATTTGTAGGCAACGTTTATTAATGACATTCCCGCAGCAACGAAAAAATGTTGGAGTCTTCGTTTTCTACGTGGTCCGCGTTGTATTAAAGGAACGTGGGCGATTAACTGTTCCAAGAAGTTCTTGTTTTTATTATAAGAAACTTTAAAAACCATGCATGTCAGCGTGGCATGTATAATTCCTTATGCGGAACACGAATTTTAAATGTACGCTATATACTTTTAAACTGGTTTTACTCTTTCAGTAATTTTTTTTCTAAATTTTACACAAATGAAGGCGACAGAAGAACATATTCATTTTATTTTTGTTTCAACATCTCTCCCTTCAATTCTTCATGTTTTTCTTCTTCATTATCACCTTCTTAGTTGTCTTCCACTTCATCCCCCTTTCCCTCTCTGTTCTTAATTAATGTCGTGACTCTGACAGTTGCGCTTTCAAGAGTCTTAAAGTGGTATTCTAGCATATGGTTCGTGACTGAGGCAGTTCTGTTCGAAAAGTTTTAAGCCAAAATTTGTCTGTGGGATGGCAATGTTACAGCCACTATCACTGAGTGGGTCTGCTATGCTGTATGTGTCCGTGGAAGAAGGTGATATCTCCAGACTAACTGGATGCTACTTTAAATGGACTCTGATCCTTGTAGTAGTGTTATATAAGGTCTGCATGATCGTCGGTTGTCACATGTTGGGATAAAGATTTCGGATCTTCGTAGCTGAACATGCGAATTTCGCATTTCTTGTGTAGTGGCAGTAGAGACTATGCAGTAGTGTATAAATGTGTACAAAAGTATGGCAATATACACAACAATATTCTTTATTTAAAAACAAAGTAGACACTATTATATCAGCATTTGTTTTTATCGACGCTACATGTTTCGACCTTTATACTGGGTCATCATCAGGCGTACAATGATACCACTCTCAGTTGTTAAACTGCATCTGACTATTTGCATCTAATTCTTTAATAAGTATCCATATTTTGTTCCTGAGAGCTCTTAAGTGCATAAATTGAATATTTCAGTTAAAATTTAAAACATTTAAATAAATACAGAATATTGTCGTGTAGACTGCCTCAATTTGTACACATTTACATACACTATTAATGACACACAACAGGATGAATACTATTAGGAGACTATGCAATATACTTAAGTCCTCTAATCCTCGCGAATGATCGAAAGGTCCCTATGGCTCATGAATTAAAGTGGGTCATGAAGGAAACTGTACTCTCTTCCAGACCGCATAGTTTTCAACCGGCAATTTTTTGGCTTGAACAATATATATAGCGATGTAATTATCTGTTAAGTAACTAAGCATCTAACCCCCTAAAGCAGAGCCTCTGAATAATGGATAGTCTCGTAGATATACGAAATATTTCTCACAATTTATGGAACACTAAGCTACATTATCACTTGCATAAGAGCCCGGTATCGAATATTATTCTTAGCCAGATGAATCTAGTCCACACACATACATTTAATTGTTTTAACGTATATTTAGTATCACAATCATATTTACACGTGGTCTTACAAATAGTCTTTACCATTAAGTTTTATTACTAAAATGTTGTTGTTATTTCTTACATAATACATACTCGTATTTCGTCTATGCCATTATCTAAATTTTTTACCATAATAATATTTACTGAAGCGCATGCCAAATTATCTCTTTATTTATTTATTTATTTATTTATTTTCTCCACACTTCTGTTACTATTCTCCAAGGTCCACACTCTCCTCAGCAACTTGTTTTAAATCTCTGTTCTTCCCTTAGAATAAGAGATCAAGTTTCTAACTCGTATAAAACAAAAAGAAATTTATAAACTTCAGTATTTTAATTTTAAGTATATAATTGTTGTAAAATATTTGGTTTTAAAGTAGTTTGTGACTAAGCACAATTTTACTACAAAAACGCAATAAATCGCTGTAAAAATAATGCTCAAAATCAATCTATTACACAGAAGTTAAAGAGTGTTCAACCAGACTCAAATGTCTTGACCAAATTATTTCTTCTCCCCTGAACCTTGTAGGGCCGGTCACGGTAGCCGAACGATCTAAGGCATGTACTGTCTTCTCTCGCTTGGAAACCGGGATCGTGGGTTCGAATCCCACTCAGGGCATGGATGTTTAGTTTGTGTGTGTGTGCGTTTTTCTGTGTTTGTGTACAGGTAGAGGCCTTGCGACGAGCTGATCACCCGCCCAAGGAGTCCTACCGAATGTGTAAGATCTAGAAAAACCGAAGTGAACGGAGAAGTTCATGGAGGTAGGTCTAGGCCCACTGGGGCTGTAGTGCCATGGGGGAAAAAAAATTTGTAGAATTTGTGGTGGACAAAGTGACACTGGGGCAGGTTTGCTCCGAGTATTTCGGTTTCCCCTGCCAATTTTCATTCTTACGATTGCTCCCTATTCATTATCATCAGGGCTGGTGCAATAGGCCAATTAGTGGCCGACGTGCCAAATGGACTCAGTCTCATCCCACTCCAAGAGACAACAAAAAGAACTTACTACTGAACCACCGCAGGTCTGCATAACAGGGATGGGTAAGCCAACGTTGTTACATTACCTGGATGCGGTGATTGTAGCGATCGGCAATGATGAACTGGCCGATCCTGTTAACTGCCACACCGGCCAAACAGTCAAATTCTCCTTCAGAATTTCCGTAACTGCCAAATTCCTTGACGAAGATTCCATTAGGGTCGAAGACTTGAACGCGGTGGTTGGAGGAGTCCGCGACTACTATAGAATTGTCAGGACCCACGGCGATGCCGCGGGGCCATGTGAAACATCCGGGCTCGCTCCCCCGACTTCCAATTTTGAACTGCTGACGGCGCTTCTGCAGGTACTGGCTCCTAGGGGAGGAACCGGCCGCTGCCACGAAACCTGAGGACGCAAGACTGAACATCACCACCCCTCACTGAAGCTCATGTTTAAATATTATTTTAGTTAACATTCCTCATGACATGAGAACACTATATTAGCTTGTGATACCTTACGAAGTTGGCTGATGTAGCGGTAATGGTCCTGACTTGTATTCGGGAGGTACTCGTTTCGAAACTCAGTAGGAACACCGTCTATTCTGACTGGATATTTCTTATCGTTTTCTTAATTCCCTTCGAATAAATGCCTGGATAATGCTTTGATTATGCCATGGTCGCTTCTTTTAAAATATTTTCAAATTCTTCATCACCAGTCATCGCAACATTTCGACGCTATATAGTCTAGTTTGACAGCATCGTAAAATAAACGTCAGAAAAGGTAACATGATGTTCATGTCTCTATTCCACACTAAGAATTTTGATGAAATGAAAGGTGTTTCAAAACCCCGGGTGTTTTTTTTTTAGAAAAATTTTGAAAATTTCCTTAGATTTCGTGGAAGATTTTCTTAAACGAATATAAGGTTACCTAAAACAAATAGAAGGTTAGGCTTAAGTAAAAATAACCGGAAAATATTCGTAAAACATTTAAAAGTTTCCGTAAAACGATGTTATATTTTAGCGTCCTGTTATACTGATTCATGTCCATGGTTTATGCTAACCGTCTTACAGTGTATACAGTTTTTCACCTTATTCTTCACTTTCACACTACATGTTTCAGCACTAATGTGCCATCTTCAGGTGTCTTTATGCACTTTAAACTACTGTACTGCATGCAGTAACAGGAGCAAAACACAACACAGAATACGATACACAAATATATGTAGGAAGAATGCTCACATAAAAGAGGATTGGCGTAATTCGCGTGTTTGAGTGCGACGTAGGAAGAATCCTGAAAAGTTTTATTATTTAGAATTCATCGTCCTATATGACGAATACAGATTTTAGTCATTTTAGAACGAAGACATTATGGCATGCAGTACAATAGTTTAACGTGCATAAAAACACCTGAAGATGGCACATTAGTGCTGAAACATGTAGTGTGAAAATGAAGAATAAGGTGAAAAAGTGTATACACTGTAAGACGGGCAGCATAAACAATGTCCATAAAACGAATTGAAATTTTCGTAATACCAACGGAGTATTCCTTATAAAAAGGAAGATTCTTCATAAAAATTTTACAACAAAAAATCATATTATTAGTATACTGAACTCATGTATTACTTCCGATAATGTACATGAAATTTGTCAGTATCTTTGTTCTCATTGTTCCCTTCATATCATCATTCTCTTCTGTGTTTTTCATTCATCCAGTCTTTCATTCTCTGTTTATTACTCTTTTCAACACATTTATTTCCTCCTTTCTGACCTCATTTCATTAATGCATTGTTCATTTGCTTATTTATTTATTAATTTCTATCTCTTTTACCATCCTTTCTCTCTTTCATAGATTACTTTCCTTCTTTCTAACTTGTATTCATTGATCGATTCGTTCATTACTTCACTAATTCTTTCCTTTTTACTTACAATTTTTTTACTTACTTTCTTCATTAATTCATTTTTTTCCTTTTCTCCATGTCCTTCATCTGCAAAATCGTCAGGCCGAGTGCAACAGAAAATCTGAAACCTCCAGAGCTAAAGCATGTCAAGTTTTTAGTGACACGGAGTTTCTGAATTTAAGGCTGCGTCTTTCACGAGAATGCACGCCTGGTCCGTGATAGATGGCGTCCTTAATTTATGAACCTTGCCTGGGTGTGGGGACGCACCAACATAATTACTCCGTGTTCTGACGTCGCCTTAGCTGAAAGCGTCCACATTCTTGGACAGTACTCCAGTTGACTACAAAATGTGACTTCGTTGCTCGGTAGAAGATTAAGCAATTAATTTATTACAATGTATTAAAATTAACACCAAGTTTAAAAAACATTTAACATTAATTCTCCCATGAGAAGTCTCCTGCACTTTCGTGTTACACTAGATCGTTTTCATTCTCAGATGAACTGCTAGGTTTTAGAAGACATCGTAAATATTACCCAATCTGACTGCACAGCGACAACAGATTCAGTCAGGAATAAGGCTATAAACCGCTATGATATATTCTAAGGTTATTTCAGAATTTTTATTGAGAGACTAGGATAAATCCCGAAAGCCCTGAACTTGGAAAAACCATACTCGGAAATTTCTTCTCTGTTGTATCCAGTTTTTCCAAGAGAACTTCGGGAAAATATCCTAAAACAAGCTTCCTCAGATACATATTTATTCTTTGTATTCTGCTTTGCATTACATGACACGACAGAAGTTCATAAATTGTCGCAGCATTACAGAATCATAACTGATGAACTCGTACCTTAGCTTTACTCAAGTAACAGCTATTAATGGTTTCCGTCCGTCCCTCCTTGTCCTTCCCAACTTGTAATCATCTTTTCACTAGAAGATATGTGACATACGCAGATATTCCATTCATCTGAATATTTTATTTCGAGGTATATATGCGAATCAACTAAAGGACAAAATATCATAATTAGCTACAGTACCCAACAAATAGGGGGCACGCGGTAGCGTAGTTGGTTGAGGCACTACGCTACAAGCCGGAAGGTAGTGGGTTCAAGTCCCTATGAAGTGGATTTTTTCATTTGACCTAATCCTTCCATCCGCACTATGGCCCTCGGGTCTACTCAGCCTCTAACAGAAATGAGTACCAGGAATCTTCCTGGGGTAAAGGGCGGCCGGGGCGTGCAGCTGACAACCTTACTACCAACTGTAATGTGTTACCTTCAACGTCTCACAACGCTATGGGCCTCTATGGCCTGTTACAGGGANAGCAGACAGTCTGCTTTTTCCGGTTCTCACGGTCTCTTCGCTTGCAGATTACTTATATGTTTTCTTCTACCCTGAAGATGGAGGCGATACGTTCCTCCGAAACGTCGGTTAACACCACATATACACGGTGCCAAATCCCAGAAGACTGCTTTCTTCAACAAATAATATATTTCGACTTTAATTTTCTGGCGATACAAGGCCGAAACGGGTGGATGTCCTGTGAAGTATGCAAAGTACGCCCGAGAATATGTTAATACATAGAGAAACGTAGTTAAACAAGACACGACCAAGGAGCCATCCACTTACCTGCTGCCGCCGCTGTAGCTGTTGTAGGGGAAGTGGGGGAGCCTCCCGGGTTTTTTTGGTCGTCATCCGAACTCTCGACGCTTGTCGAGTTGTGACGTAACGGGAGACCCAAAGAAAGGCGTCGAGCAGCTGTGGCTGACGCCGAAGGTGAGGAAGAGGCTCCACTAGCTGAGCCTCCTCCGTCCTTGTTTCCGGCTTTGTTGCCGTACTTGTTTTTGAGATATCTGGCCCACGAACTAAGGGCCGCTCCGTCCTTTTCGGTGCCTGCTCCGGGACGGTCTGGCGAGTTGTCTCTCGATTTCAGCGCGTGGGTTGATCTGCTTCTTGCAAGTTCGTTACTGCTCTGGGACCCCGAGCCGTACCTGGATGCCAGGTATGTTGACGGCATTGACGATGTCGGTGACGTACGGCCATCTTCCGGTTCTTCGTCTTCATGACCGCCAAAGCTATGTGAACTCCTACTTTTAGCCAGACGCGCACGCCTGTCCTTAAGAGCAGCGTACCTTGACCTGCCACTTGGATATTTGCTAGATTCGTCTGTAGTGGAGTACTTCCTGCCTCCAGAGTCTGCTTCCTCGTCCGGAGACATGGCAGCAGAACTCTTGGACTTGTTCAGGAACCGACTGGTGTATCCGCTCCCTGACCCATAGCGAGAGGACGGCGTGTTCTCCTCTTCAACTGAACCACGGCTTCGAGTGAGATACTTGCTTCCTGTGGAGGTGGCTGAAGGTTCATCCTTGGCTCCATACGACGGTCGGTAATTGCTGGGCGAGGTGTCGGCTCCGCTGCCGTAGCGTGACCTACTGTAGCCAGAAGTGGTGCTTTCGTCCTTGCTGTTTTTCCGAGCAGCTTCAGAAGTGTCCCTCGCCAAGGCACTCCTAGCAAGCAGAGGTCCAATATCAGATTTGTCCATCGCGGATTTATTAGTGACTGCTGGTTCAGGTTTCTTTTTACCGGTTTCATCAGCGGACTCGTCTTCAGAATCGGTTTCCTCAGACTCCGAGCTACTTTCCGACTCTTCTTCATCTTCCTCTTCCTCTTCCTCTTTGGTCGGTTTCTCCACAGCTGCGGCAGTGGCTGCTTGCCTGTTGGCCAAGAATCGACTCTGAAACGGTTTCTTGGGCGTATCGGAACCGGTGGACGACAAGCGGGTCCTCGGCGTGGATGCACCGGAACCAGCCGGACTCTCGGCCGGAGAAGTTTTGAATTTCTGTTTGGGTTCATCGGGCGTGAAAGCTGTTCCCGAGCTCCTGACTGCTGAAGACGAAGCCGCGGAAGACTCGGATGAAGTGCTGGAATCAGAGCTAGCGGAGCGCGTGGCTTTCTTGTGGGCCGCTACGTCGGAGGAACCGGAAGATCTTCTAGAAACGCTTCCGGAACCAGTTTTACCGGCAGTCTTCCGTTGTGTCTGTTGCAAAGAACTGACTGAGGACCCGCCATCTGACTCGGCATCGCTGGATGCTGCCACCTACGTGTTATGAAATACATCAACAGGTAAATTAAATAGGCAAATGAAATATTTTATACTAAGATATTTCAACTGATATCTTTCAGGGGCGCTGCAAACGTATACGGCCAATTATATGTGATCATGTGGGTGGGTAATGATTCTAATTTGCATGGACGCAGTGAAGAAGTACGATGACTCTTCAGCAAATAGAGTGCTCTCTCGTAACAGTATGATATTTGTAGAACAAGGGCATAATATTTAATTTTGTCTACTTTAAACGCCTTTGAAACATCAATTATAAGAGTTTAAAGTAAACCCTGCAAAATCGTCCAAGTTAGTTTCCTTATAGGTGTAGTATATTTGTTATACAGTAAACAAATTATTTCAACTTCCATGCTCTGACGTTAGGCAGCTGTCAATATAGCCGATTTCATCTAAAGGGGCGGACACCTCACAGCAGCCAAGAATACCAGCTTTTTAACAGCATAACGCTCTGATTTAATTGCCATTTTACCAAATAATATAATTTCATAGTAATCGCCTTTATAACTTGAAAGATATCTGACTGCTGCAATAGCGGGAAAGCAGATCACCATGAATGATGATCCAGTGGCTGACGTTTGTGATTGGCATTTGAGAAATCCGCTATTAGAATCTTGTCCGTAATACGTACTCACTGTCACATTTGCTTCCTGGCTTTCCTCAGTCACTTGAAAAATTCCAATAAAGTGCTATAAAAGGGCACAGCAGCTACATCTCAGCGTCCCAACTCGCCATTTGCATTCCATGGTACATAAGTTTCGAAGTAGACAAAGAGTCGTAATATAAATTAAATAATAATAATATCAAAACTCATGTCAGCAATGAATATTGAGCGTTTACTTAGTTGTCTGACAGTTAGTTCAGAAGACACTGCACCTCTTGTGTTTCTGTATCTCCTGGAGACTCAGAGGTCAGCGGTTAATCATGTCTGCCCAGTAAAATGAATATTGCAGTGCAGTTGGCTGGTGCTTCCTTTGAACTTTGTAGTATAAAAGAAAGTGTGGATTTTGCGTTCATATCCCAGGAGTTCAGGAAATAATTTGTCCTTTCGAAGAGAGCTTTTTTGTGTTCATTAACTGTAAGCTCAGTTTTATTATTGCTTGTGATGATAAAAACGTTTTGCATCTTTTCTGATAAGTAGGAACAAACCCCTTAATTTCGTTTAAGAGACAGGTGTATAAGACCTGACAATATTAAATTGTATTACGGAACTGAAATGTCAGCCTGGTCAGACAAACAGCGACAGGGATCTGCAGCAAAGTGGCTTGCTTTCATGACTTTATTTTTTCAATCAGCGTAGCAGTATTAGACCCGCCTATAAAGGTATTCAGTTCGAATGCTAAGAAAATACAAGAGTTAAGACCCGACTATTAATTAACCAGATCACTCCTACAGAGGAGATATTTAATTTAAGCTGTATTTATTTTTTATTCGTGTGGTGGATTGAGACCGATTCCACTTGGTAGTCCGGCCACTATTAGGACCATTGCAGCCGCCACAGATGTGAAGGATGATGATGTTGATCGATCTACTGTATGTGCAGAAGCTGGTGGAATAAGAATAACCAGGGTATCAAGTACTCGGAGAAAACTTGTTCCAGTGCCACTATGCCCATATAAAATCTCAAATTACTCGATCTAAGATCGAACCCGGGCCTCTGCGATTGGCGGCCAGCTATTTACCGCCTGAGTTATGGCAGTTTCTGTATAAACATTTATTTTTCTCTTGTTTCATTGGGGATATTCTGATAGGTTAAATACGGTGTTCCTATGGGCAATATTTTGGAACCCATTAATTGGTCATGATGCACGTTACAAGAAGCATAGGGAATGTCCGATTGTGGCCACTGGATGGAACAAAAATGGGGATGAAATTTCCGAACAAGGCATGAAGGTGCTGACGAATAAAATACGGGATAAATTGGCTTCTTTGAATAAAAAAAAATTAAATCCTTGACCATACAATTCAATTAGAATGATCAAGTCGAGGAGTATGAGATGGGCAGGGCATGTAGCGCGAATGGATGAGAAGAGGAATTCATATAGGATATTGGTGGGAAAGCCAGAAAGAGCCCACTGGCAAGACCAAGACGTAGGCGGGTGGACGATAATGGATCTTAGATAGGTTGGGATGGTATGGATTGAATCGATCTGGCTTCGGATAGGGGTCAGTGGAGGGCTCTCGTGAACATGATAATGAACCCTCGGGTTTCATAAAATGTTGGGAAATTCCTGAGTAGCTGTGCAATTGCCGGCTTTTCAAGAAGGGTTCAGCTCCACGAGTGAGTGATTCAATGCTGTAATGCTTCATGTATAGAAATGTCACATTCCTTTTCAGATTAAGCTGAAATTTCTAGACCATACTGAATGGCAGAGTCGAAATTTGGTATAGGTTCCTTTGGAATGTCTAGATTGTAGAATTATTTTATTTATTTTTGATAAGCTATAAGTTGATGCAAAACATTTTCATATTTTCTTCTGATTAAACACAGAAAGTCCATGTTATTTGTAATAAATTTCGGAAGCCTATAAAGAAGGTAAGAAAGTTTTTATTTGCCTTCGACTAGTGTTAATAGATTGATTACATAAATTGTGTTCTAGGTTTGATCTCTACAGCTTTACACATCAAAACTACTGTTTCTTGCATTCTCTTAGTTATAAAGTGTTAATGTATGTATAAGTAACAGCACAAAGAAGTTAATTTAACAAGAAATCAGAAAATACTGACAGAAGACCATGCCGATGGGGTTACTTGCCACCCTGTAGGGAAGAGTTTTTGACAGACATCAAGTATTCTCCGTAAACTGGAAATAGAACGTTATAGAAGTTTTAAGAGTTTTGATGTATTTATGACAAAGTAACTAGACCAAGGTTTCTCAAAATGTTGTAGATCATGACAAAAGCATTCTGGAATAAGTGATCAACACGGCATCATACACAAATTCGACAGCATGGAATCACTGGAAGCTTATGCAATTCCGTTTTGTCAAAGTATCTATCACAAATTTAATTACGATTTTTGCAAACACAATTATAAAACGTCATAAGCTTTTGTATATTTTTGCTCACTATGAAAACTATTCTGATTTATATTCGATCACGGTTCCCAGGATTATACGCTGCTAGCGCCATTGAAATTGGCGGACGGCCGACAGCCGTACGTCAATGAGTTAACAAGAGCAGATTTTTTTTATTTAAATTTGGAATGCGTGGAGTATATATATCTTCTGCTATTTGTAGAATAAAACTTCGTTTATATTAGTATATTTATATTTTATTATATTGTATTTTATTTAATTTGTCATATTACTTAACATTATATATTACATTATATTATATTACATTTAGCTATATGCGAAAATGACTTTTCAGTTCGACAGGAGATCGAAAAATGAATTTTGAAGAAATTCGAAAATTGAGACGACAATGAGAATGTTCATTGTTACAAAAAGGTTCTCACACTGCACCACACCGTAGTAATTATCTCTTTTGCTAACAGATCCCTTTATATTGAAAAATATTCGCAAATCATTGCACCTAAAAGATCAATTTTATGGCCATATTCGGTGAATCGGATATTTTGCGTGGCACAGGAGCAAAAGCAAAAGCAGTAGTATGAAAATTCTCGAAATTTAGATCGAAAAATCGACGTTCATATCTATATCGAGATATGTCTTTCCTTGAACTAAAATCGAAAATCTAAGAATCTCACATGCCTAATTATACTACATTGTCTTATAATTATCATGAATACATTCTGAACAAAGTTAACAACAGTAGAGATACTACACACGCTAGTCTACAAAAACATCGTTTCTATGGTTAGATTCTAAGTGACAGCTGCGACATTACCTACATTAAGTCTATTAACTAATTTGTTTCTTGTACTTTGTTAAATACACAGAATATGTAATAAAATATGTGAAACCAAATGTATAAATATTAATGTAAACAACATTTTATATATGCATTGGATTTATTTTACAAGCCATCTCGAAGGGTTCTGATGCATTTCGAAATAAGTTTTATATATACGTGAAGTACTCATTATAGTGGAGAAATGCTTACCAAAATGAAGTAGTCAGACAAATTTCATTGTAGACCAAGGCGTAACGAATTAATTAGCTTATTAAACTGAAAGAGACACCATCTCCTAATTATGCGTTCATCAATTATATTTCTTGTATGAAACGTGTAAGAACGTGAACTTACCGACCTCTGTCCCCTGGGAGCAATTCTGAAGCTAATTTCATCCTTCAAATCTGTGTTCATCGTCCTTACTATATATGGTCGCTCGGAAGTTGCAAATAAATGAGTAACTAGTAAATTATGCCTCAGTTTAAGCCGTGCCTTGTCTACTTGTTTATTTTTAGGCACGCCGCTTTAATATAAGCGAAAGAAACCTTCTCTTAGTAATTTCCATAGCAACCTACAGCATATTTTTGACAAACCAGAGATAGAAATTTTAAGTTATCTTCTCAAAAGCCATATAAATACTGCAAGATATCCCACGCTCAGTATGCAAAAATGTGAATATAGGAAACACCGGTTCTTCCTCGAACTGTTTGCATAATCGCAATGGGAGGTTGGACAGAATTTATGGTGAAAATTAACGGAAAACTGTATTTGGAAAAATGTAAATAATATTACTTTATATATCCAAACATGACGCGAAAATTGCCTTGTAATAACAATGATATTTCTCCTTCATACGCTTCTGGAAATACTTGCCTAAATGATCACTGGGTCAATTTAACTGAAAACAGTGGCAAAAGTAAATGCAACGTAGAACAAACTTGAAAGGATTCCGACGATGGTGTATACTGTACTTCTTTTGGCTTGTTTTGGACTTCATCCATCGTCTGGTATGTAAGAGACAAAAGACCACGACGTTTCGGAGACTGCATCTGAAGAGTTAGTCTCAATCACTGCACCAGCGACTAGCTCTTTCTAACGGGCTCAACTGAGTAGGTTTATCCTTCCCTACCCACCTGAAGACGGAGACAGCTCCAGTCTCCGAAACGTCGTGGTCTTTTGTCTTTTACATACCAGACGATGGATGAAGTCCAAAACAAGCCAAAAGAAGTAACGTAGAACAAGTTCCGGGAAGATGGAAAATACACACACATTATGAGTCGCAAGACAAAAAGAGAAGAGAACGTTCTAGAGACCAAGGTGTAAATGAGAGTATAATATTAAAAAGTATATAATCAAAGAAGATAATATGGTTTATATTCTCTGATTAGCTTGAAGTGAGGTGTGTTAAATACTTCATAGAACAACTGTAATTAAAACTAGACTCTTTTTCCAGTTAAGTTGTTTGTTCCTTATAACAATTAGATCAAACTTTAATTTTTCAGTTTTCTTTATCAGGAGGCAATGCAATGTGATTCTGAATTGTGTAAAAATGAAATCTTGCGCATTCGAGTAGACGGCATGTGGCTCATTACGCATTAGTTCAGGAAATCCCCCTAAATTGAACCAAAATATTATTCACATAAAAAGATATTCAAGTGCTTTCAATAAGTCTATAGGTATTACATTAATCTTCTATTCAACTCAATATGTTCAATGTCTCAAGACTAGCATGGTTGAACGCGTATGGATTTAGGATTTATTCATAATATATTCCAATCTGTGAAATGTCTCTTTTACGTGTTAGTGTAAATGTTATTATTGTTTGTATAGTTGGATGGCAATGTCAAGATCTACTTTCTTGACAAACCCCGTTCTAAACGCGTAACAGCAAATCAACACACATTTATTAAACACTAGAACTTGCAGAGCATCCATTAATGTGTAAGACAGTTGTTATTCAGTTCCATTCCGGATAATATTTAGAAATTTATTGTCTCGTAACTTTAAACAGATTCCCAGCAATTAGGGATGGATCCATGCAGACGTATGGAAGACTGAAAATAAATCTCTGTGCTTTCTAGGTCTCAGACAGAGGGCAGATGAGTAGTTAGCTTCACGTTCTGATTGATTTGGGGCCCGCAATTTTTCCTCTGTGTTTACTTTGAAGGAGGCATATTAGGCCCTCAGAGTCGGCATGGATGTAGTGCCAAGGGAAAAAATTCATACCCCTGCCTTGAATCGTAAACATGAATATGAAAATGAAAATATAGAAAACATTAATACGCCCTGTAGTAGCATACAGCAGTGAGACGAGGGTGTTAAAGAAGTAAAAAGTAAAAAAAAAAAGTAAAATTATCCCTCTAACTGGCCGTGGAGGTTGTCAGCCTTATGCGCCGGCCACCCTTTACCCCCAAGAATATTCCTGGTACTCATTTCTGTTAGAGGTTGAGTCGACCCCAAGGCCATAATGCCGCTGGAAGGATTAGGTAAATAAAAAAAAATCACCTCATCGGATTCGAACCCGCGACCTTCCGGCTTATAGCATAGTGTCTCGACCAACTACGCTACCGCGTGCCCCGGGCGTTATGAAAGAGGATGAAAACAATTTAAGAAGATTTGAAAGAAAAATGATTAGGAAAATGTACGGGCCATTAAAACAGGAAGAGCAGTGGAGAACTAGAAACAATGAAGAAGCAGATGAAGTATAGAAGAAAGAAGATACAGTTAGATTTATAAAGGCAAGAAGAATCGACTGACTGGGACATGTAGAAAGAATGGATGCTAGCAGAATGTCACGGAAAATGCTGCATGAGAAGCTCTGTACTAAAAAAGTAAGAGGTAGACTAAAATAGAAGTGGTTTGATGACGTCAGAGAAGACAGTTAAAGAGTGGAGATCCACTACAACGGACAGGGATTCTTGGAGGCTGTTGGTGTGGGAGGCTAAGGCCCACAAAGGGCTGTAGAGCCAGTTGGTGTGTGTGTTTGTGCCATGAAATATATTCTGACCACGTAGCGGATAGCACGGCACTCCTATTTTACATCCTTACAGGTCTTCACCTCCGACTCATCAGCCACTGTGAGATAAATATGAGGGCTTACCTCAAGTGATTACTCTACAGATGGCAAATACAATGTTTGCCAGAATTCTTGGAAACATTCAACTTTCTACGCGCATATCCCTGAAAAGCGAATCAACAAAATTATCTCCGGCCGCAAGAAACTGAGGTATAGAAAATTACATTAAATTGCATATAAGCAAGCTTCTCAGCATATTTCAATATTCGTCTTTCATTACTGAAGCTTGCTTATGCATGTGAAGTTTTACAGACAAAACATCTTACTTTTCAGTGTCTCAACAGTTCAGATACAGGGATTTGTCTTTTGAATTCCCTTCGTTGATGTTACACTTATGTGGATGCTCTGCAGAAATAACTAACGTCTTAAAAACCTTCACTCACCTCAGCTCCTGGCGTTTTTCTGTTCGGTGACGATATATCGGAGGGCGGCATCCTGCTTGTGGGTGACGAGGGTTGGCTGCTGTCTCTGTCATCCGATGACGTGTCTCGCGTTGTCTTCAGGGCAGCGACCCGTTCTGACACCGGCCTGCCGACATCAGCAGATGCCGGGGTTGTGGTATCGGTTGTTGAAGATGTTGAAGTTCCCGACTTGTTGGCTCGCTTTATCTTGGAGATTTCATCCTCCTCGCTAACTTGGCGCTGCGTGCGCTTTGGTACCTGCTGTGGGGTCTTCACCTGCTGCTGTGTCGTTGGGGCAGGCTGCACCGTCTCCTTCTTCTTGCCGCGCTGCTCAGATTCCTGCAGGCGTTTCATGACACGTGGCGAATCGTAGAGGCGAGTGATGCCGCTTAGCGGCCCCCGAGCCACGTCCTCAGTGTCCAGCACCCGCTCTCGCTCCTTATGATGGCCTTCGGAGAAGCGGACTGACCGGTTTCCTTGCGTATCGTTGTCCGAATCTGCGTTCTCGCCATGGTGTCGGGAGAATCTCGACCTGTATTTGGACCGCGGCCTGTTGCCGTCGTTATCATAGGGTGATTCGAACTCTCCGGAGTAGTCGCCACCGCCGCCCGAGCGACTTCCATAGCGGGATTGCTGCTGTTCATACCTGTCATTGCCTCCACGATTCTGTGGGTAGCGTTCGCCGAACTTGCGTCCCCCAAGAGGAGACACTCGGCCTGATGTACCACTGGGATCTCCACTGCCATCTCCATATCCTCTATCATATCCACCTCGCTCTTCCTGTTGCCTAAATTGGGACGCGAGACGGTGGTCGCTTTTGGACCTCATCAGTCCAGGTCCGCCTGGGGGCTGAAGAAGGCCAGTACTGCTACTACTAGTCACAATTGAACCTCCACTTCCCCCAACGCCTACAAATGGTTGATGCGGCATGTTGATTGTCAGCTCTCCGTATCCAGCTACGTGCAGAACCAACTGATTTGGATCGGTCGACATAGAGAATCTCACTTTGCGATTATAGTCGGAATTTTCGTACTCAAAATTCCGGATGAATTCAACCGTTTTCAGAAATATGTCTTTGGCGTCCATGAGTTCACAATCATCCCACTCCACGGCATCTGTCATATGTTTGTCTGCCAGATCGCAATTGCTCTGTATATTCGATATCTCTAGCTCGAGATTCTCCTTCAGTGTTGATAGATTCCGCAGTTCCGTGGAGAGGTAACGATCTATCTCTCCCCTTAGGAATTCGGTGCGGTCCTTGAGAGCTTTGTTAAGGCGCCGGTAGATCTCGTCAATCTCTTCTGAGACCGAGGTGCAGTTCTGTTGCAGGCTAAGGGAGTTCTTCTCGACTAGAGCCAAGGAGTCTTGCAACCGGTGTAGTGCTCGACGCACCTGTAACAGTACATCGGCTTTTCAAACAGAGGTAAGAATCTGAAAAACCGGTGAAGGTAACTTCTGAATTCTACCTTTTAACATAAAAATAGTGCCTCTGAGAACAAACTGTTGAGGAAAATATTTGGGCATAAGTATGATAACATAACAGGATAATTTAGAAAAATACACAAATATAATCAAGAGCTCTACAATTTATATTCTTCCAAATATTATTCCGGTGCACGAGTCAAGGGACTGTGAAGCGTAAGTTGGGAGAAATGAGAAGTGGCCACAGAATATTTGTCAGGTAAAAGCGAAAGGAAATTTTCATTTTGGAGATCTAGACCTAGACGTGGAAGGATAGTATTAAAATGGATCACAAAGAAATATTGTACAATATGTGAGTACAAATTGGATTTAACTGCTTGAGGATAGGGCCCAGTAATAGGTTCTTTAAAAAATGATACTAAAATTTTGTCCTACAAGAAGCAGGGAAATTCTTCACCAATTGAACTATTGGCTTCTGATACAGGACTCTGTTATATGGAGCTAGTACTAAAACAGGGGAAGTACATACTCTGGTTCGGCTGCTGGGTTCTGTAGGTTATCTGTGATTCTAGACTCACCTGATTGTTGATGCGCGCAATTTCACGGCGCAGAATGTCCATGTGCGCCCCCTTACAGTCGGAACAAATCTTCTTCTCGCAATGGACGCACATGGAGCAGTAGGACTTCTCCGAGCAAACGTTGCACCTCTCCATGACCTGACCACTCGTCGGGTCGGGAAGCTCGCCTGTAATCTCGATGTGCAACTCCAGGAACCTCTGCAACGTCACGTTGGTCGGGAAGCCCTGCACGCCCTGGTACGGGATCCTGTGTTCCGCCCGACATTCCGGACACTTCACCTGCAGCAGCACCAGAGTTATCTGCGTAAGCTGGCGATGTTCTTCTTTAGTACTTGTTCATCAACAAACTGGTCAATAACTTCCCTCCTTTCAGGGATCCGAACATTCATTACCTTTGCCATATATTTTCAAATCAATCCATTTTCAAATAACTTTATGGTGTAGTTGTCAGAGTTCCTGGCTATAGGGCCAGAGGTCCCGGGTTCGATTCTCGGAGTTACCTGATTTTCTGAGAAGTAGTGGACCTGGAACGGGGTCAACTCAGCTTCGTGAGGATAATTGAGGAGCTATTTCAAGGAAATAGCTGCTCCGGTCAATAAAACCGAAATTAACGACCATGGGGGTCCGTTACTTTGACCACGTGACACCCTCTATCAGCTAAAGTTGGCACTAACTTCGCCGACAAGCGGCGGTCACTTGCGGACTAGAGAACACGGAGTTTGTTAAATCCATTTTCATATTAATGTCCCACCTACGCCTAGAACTCCAAAATATTCACTTTCCTTGATATATGCAGGCTAAAATTTAAAGGTATTTTCCATCGTCCCGGTGTTTGCTATGTACACGTATCTAGCTCTCCTACTGACATTACAATTTCTATATATCAAGTCTCTGTTTATGGCGCTTTGGAGACTCTTTGTCATATTTGGCAACACAAAAATAATTACGGTATTGCTAGTCCCCTCCAAACTGACAAACTTTTCGGCTACACAACTGTAGATATGTGGAGTCCTCTATTAGTCTATTCCATCCATAACCTGAGGAAACTCCATGCTGTGATGTAAAAGCAACTGACTTTACAGGGAGCAACACCTGCAGGGATTAATAAGCGTCAAATGAGAGATGAAGATAACCTTTCATTTTTATGAAACGACTGGGGAAAATACGGTCGTGGCCTAATCCGAAGAACTAACCCGTTATTCACCTGAGGAGACTGAGGAAATTCATGATTATCCATGGTCCGTATAGCCTGTGTGTTGGTCGTGATTGAAGTCGCATGCATGTCGTGAGCGTTTCGGCTTGAGCCAACGTTCTCTGCTAAGCCACCCAACGACATTTGCAATTAGATGAATTTGGGCTTCTTTGGTAGAGATGTGACTCATATTCAGTGTTATGTCAACAATCTATCTTGGAGACAGTGCTTTGGGGAAATATTTTCAACAATTACATTGTCGCCTGAATTGAAGTGAAAAGGAAGGTTCCGTTTATCACTGCAATCGCCCGACATGGCTTTAATTTTAAGTAATATTAATTAAAGTGATTAACTTGTGTTTGCACGCGTTGGGAACCCAGAAGAGGGAGGATATCATTCATGCACTCTTGTGAGCAACTCAGGCCAGTTCTTACTGGGGAGACCGGAAGCGTTGGTCGTCTTTCTTAGAATTCTGTGAAGTTTCGAGACCCCGGCTTCTCTTTACGAACCTGAGATTTGAGAGATAAGTGCAGTCGTTAATTCTGTAGTAGGAATTCCTTGAGCTGACGCTTTCGGGATTATCCATCAAGGTCCTTTCTGTAGTGCCTTTGAGGTCTTAAGGTCGAGATTTCCTTTAGAGAGGCAGCTGATTGCGAACTTTAAAAACGCCGAGATTCTGAGGGAGGTAACTTGTGACCGAAGCTGGAAATCCTCAGATGTCTACCGCCCCAGAAGAAATACTTCTAAACGGACTCCAGTCCCAGTCTTTTCAAGCGGTAGGACGCAGAATCTGCGCTCTTCGCAATTACTAAGCTAACAAACAATTAACTATTCGGCAAGCTGAGATACATTACTTATTCATGATCAGTGTGAATGACGACAATTTATTTAGTCATTTTGACTTAATTGAAGTACATCATGTTATTAAAGTGGATTCCTGTGAACATAAGTGTAATTATCAGCGCCAGTATACGTATATACGTATGTTGCATAATGAAATCTCCCTCTGAGGTACGCCTGCGTGATCATGGTGTGTGTGCGTGCAAACAGGTTGTTTCTGTCCTGTTAGGGCAGGCCCATTAAGACCTAGAGACCAGATCTTCCTGCTGTACCGATGCCAGCCAAAGCTAATCACCATCCTGCACGACGTTACCCGAACAAATGTACAAATTTGTAGCCACGAGACTGGCGTCTACTGGCGCCTCTCCGTCTTTCTACCATCCCAGCTTGTCACTACGACAACCGCGAGAAAAGTGCGGAGGATAGAGGTATCGACGGCTCCCCAAGCAGAGGAACCATTGGCATCGTCATCCGAGGAAGGCCGCAGTTGCATTCAACGCCCACTGCCTGCAGCGGTGGCGAAAGAAGTCCAGGCGAGACCGACTACATTACCGAGTGTTTTATGGTTATAAAACAATGCCTCTTACTTTGAACGTTATTTTATAATATTTCAGAAATAACGGGGAATATGAAAATATCTGGAGGGAGACTGAAGATGGAAATGGAGGAGAAAGGTCATTAAGAAATGAGGAACTTTTTAATTTAAATAGCTCGATTAATAACGTGAATGTAGAAAACCCAACGAGGTTGCTATGGGATTTCTATGCAATTCGTAAGGTAAATGTCCCGTGAAAGGCAGTCACTAAAAATGCCGAAAAAGGGACTAAACAAGAAGTTCTGGGAAAATTAATCGTCTGCTATTCTTTCACTAAAAATTGAATATTTCATAAGATGAGGACAGCATAGAAAACATCGCATGCAACACTTCTCTTTTGCGTGCGTATTCGTTGCAGCGGTAATGTGTTTACCAAACCGTTGCATAACAATGGCTTCAGGTCGGGACACACAGACGCACAGAGCATAGCGATCTCGTAAGTCTCCTTTTACTTTTTTAAATAGGGAAACTACATAAAAAATATAGTATAATCATTAGACGAACCTTCACGGTGATGTGAATCGAATTCTCTCGGGAGCGATTTCAGCAGCGTGCCTTGTTAGTTATACTGATTACAAAATACACAAGGCCCCAATGAAAATATTTACAATTTGTTTATCAAATGCAAGACTGGCACACAAAAGGTAATTTTAATTACACAGCGCAGAGACCAATGGTCAGAGCTCTCACCATTAAGAAGGATCCTGAGGTCAAGGACAAAGTATTGTACAAGTAACAAAGGTCAATAGAATATCTGCCTAAAAGAAACCTGCAAGCGCAATATGTTGTGCCTACAGAAATTTCCTTTGCATTTAGGAGCAACCTAAAAATTCAGAACCGGAAAAATCCACAACGTCCTCGGGTAAGAAATTTGCTAATTTTTAAGTGAAAAGACAACTGAAATGTCTAAATAAAATGATACGCACTTCATTTAGAGGGCCGTGTCTAAGATATTGGAAGACGAATTACGGTAGGATGGACAAAGGGATAAGAAACGGATATGGGAGGAACTAGGGAAAAGCGTAAAAATACTAATATATGAACGATAGAAGAGAAGTGGTGGAACTGGTATAATGTAAAGGAGAAGGAGAAAAGGAAGGTGAAGACAACGACGAAGGGACGAAGTGTAGAAGGGATGGGAAAACAATAATCGAGAAAACATCGAAAGCGACAAAGATATGAAAGGATTAAGGAAATAAGAAAATAAATTACTTTGTTCATGTCTCCGCACTTCATATGCCACTAATAATACAACGGGCTAGAAAATTCTAAGCGTCATCCTGAAAAATGCAGGTGCCATGGCGACCTAGCGTCAGAAATTTATGCGCGTCAGTACTAACTAATGTAAATTTACACTAGTGTCTAAGCATTACGAAAGCCTGCGAAAGCGGGCGTCATAAGTTCTTCCCAGAATTTAACACAACATTCAGTATTTCTGTCGCAACTGGAAACTTGGAAGCCGATGCACTGTGTTGCCTCGCTCTGGCACGAGCGGTTGTCTAATGTGAATGAAGTCGTTATCACCCTGGAGGGCTGCCACCTACTATTCATTAACCCTCAAGGTTTCATGAATAAGGTGCCAGCAGAAACAAAGCAGACATACGGCGTACCTCACCTAAAGTGGCATTAGACTCGATGACACTCCTGCTTCATATTCAGAAGGTCCTCTATTCTAAACTCAGAATGTGAATTTTTTCAGTGCCTCCAGGCAAATTATTTCAGATGAAGCCATGAACGCTTTCTTCAAGCTCTTTTCCAATTTATAATTTGCTAACCATTCTACCATTTGACATCTATACATACACTGGAAGGAATATGTAGTTCGAGCTATTAACAGAGGAAATAAAACATAAAATGCATAAAGAATATGAAAAGCAAGCTGCTTGTACATCAGCATAGTGCTGGCTAGTTTGTCCAGTGAAGAGATGCTGGAAGGGAGAGTTACATTTCGGCTCTACCTTTCATTGCTCCCTGAATCCTATACTCGTAATTCTGCGTTTCTCTTCAGTTGACGTCTATTGGCTTTAGTATCCTAATTTAGGTCTAGAGGACATTTAAATTTACTACATTTTGCTGAGTTAGACATGACAAATTTTTCATTGTTTTCCGCAGAAGGATACATTTTTAACATGTAGGCAAAGCTGATCTAATATATTTTCAAAGAAATACAACTATATCCCGAAACATGCAAATATTTTTTTTTTCCGTAAAAATTGGCACCTAAGATGAACAAGCTTATATCTTTGAAAATTTGAAGTAGAAATGTTAAACTTGGTGCTAAGTTAGGGAGCTAATATCGAAATGGGTTTTACGTTCCTTAGTATACGTTAAAATGAACCTCATATTCCTGTAACAATATTGAAATTGGCGTAAATTACCGGTGTTAATGGGTGTCATTTTCCTGATTGGATATTAAAATCGGTGTCACGTTCCTGAGCTGATGCTGAAATGGTCGTCACTTCCCTGAGGTATGGGCTTCATGTTCCTGAGGCACTGCTTCTCAACGAGAGACTTGGTTACCGAGATAATTTTCGCTTAATTAAGAATGTATACTGAACATACTGAAACAATAGGCCTGAGAGATTAACCGGTAGGGCTTTATTTTTCATATTTTTTTACATTTATTATACATACTCGTTTTTTCTTTTTGTTCACTTAAGTATCAACTTAATTACTGTATTGGAGTTTTACTCAGGTGTGATTTTTTTAATGATTTTTCATTAAAAATCTTATACTCTAACAGTGACACAGTTTATGTCACAAAGGTTCTTCTGAAAACCATTTGTATGTTAAAATTAAAGAAACTCGATTTTTTTTTATCAGGAGATATAAGAAATGGAGATATCACCCGAAACGTCCTTTGATTCTTGTAATATAGCTGAGGTGTGAACGTGATTTATAATTCAACAGCTTTCAGTTTTTCTTCTGTGCCTATTATGCGTCTTCCCATTCATGTTCAATGAGTATTAGAGTCACGCCATCCATGTGTCAATAGGCGTAAATTACTAGAGAACAGTTTAACAGGTTGTCATGAAATTTGATACTGGGAACTTTTATAATAATTAATCTTTATATTACACTTTTGATTACAACCAAATTAAAGTGAAGTAAAATTTATTTTGAAACCTACATTTTTTATAAGGGCACCTCAAGCTAACTCGAGAATTTTTGTCGAAAAGAAAAATATTTTATAAAGATTTTTTTTTAAATACGAGACAGACATTCTATGTTCAGTAACCACTTTTCAGATATTTCACTTGTACTACAGAGAGCGGCCACTCAGAAAATGTTGAAACGTGCATATATTTCTGGACTTGTGTATTCAACAATCAGTAATAGCCTTTCAAATACAATGTAGGATTACTGAAGTCTCTTACTACCTACAACAATTAAACGAAGCTTGCTCTAATCTAAACTGGTAGTTATGATTGTATATATATATATTCTTTTAGTTCGCATAGTGGGGGGATGGAGTCCATCTGGGTCCACTTCTGGCCTGTTGTACCAGCCCCACATGATAGGTGAGGGTGATTGTGGAGTAATTAGTGGAATGAAGATTGGCAGGGGAAATCGAAGTACTTTGAGAAAACCTGCCCCAGCGCCAGTTTGTCCACCACAAATCTCACTTGACCAGATTGCGGATCGAACCCGGGCCGCCACGGTGGGAAGCCAGCGACTAACCGCTTGAGCTATGGCGCGGCCTTATTTACTTACTTATTCATGAAGCTGAGCCCTTCTAGATGAGCCGCCAATTCTGCAGCTACTCAAGAATTTCCCGCATTTTATGGAACCCGAAAGTTCATTACCGTGTTGACAAGAGCCCTCCACTGGTCCCTATCCTTAACCAGATCAATCCAATACATACCATCCCATCCTACCTCTCTAAGATCCATTTTAATATTGTCCACCCACCTACGACTGAGGACGAGCCATGCCGTGGTGACAAGGGACCCACCTAACATGTATTTCGGGACAATAAAGGAAATTAAACCCGTGTAAAAGAATATTGCGCTGCGCGTGTATTCCTGAAATGTTAAGGGGGAAAAAAAAAAAAGGAATCGTACATGTGCCTGGATGTTGTGTGTAGGCCTAAAGTGATGAAGATCCCAAGAATGAATGTCGCATACAGGCCTATGTGAAAAGTAGTGAATCGAATTGCCTACACGTAGATAAGTTATTACTTGTACGAAGAAACACAGGTTATAACTTTGTGGTGTGCAATATTGGTAACGTCTGCAGTATACTTGTATCGCATCAAGTGACTGTGAAGAGCAATGAGAGATATGAAATGGATTGCTGAAATCGTAACGCAGGGCTACCTGTCTCCTGACGTAGTCCACCAGGCCGTCCATGCAAGGTTCCATGCAGAAGGAGTGCTGGCATGGCAGCAACTTCGGATTTCGGTAGCGATCCAGACAGATGGCGCACGTCAACAGCTGCTCGAACTGCTCCATGCTGCCTTCAGCTTAATACTTCTGTAAAGAAATTAGAAATTTTGAAGGTAAGAAAATAAAGATTACAATCACCTGGACATGTAAATGCAAGGCCGGGTTTCGATCTAAATTTTGGGTCATATTTTACCCCGCTGTCAGCATCTGTAAAGTATTGTGTCTATTGGTGAAAGAGGTAAATCTATCCCTGTAACAGGCTGTGGAGACTCATAGGGTTGTGAGACGTCGAAGCTCCCACATTTTCTAAGTGTAGGCTTACAGATGGTGGTGAGGTTGTCAACCTTACGCGCCGGCCGCCATTAACCCCCAACAAGATTCCTGGTACTGATTTCTGTTAGAGGTGGAGTGGACCACAGGGCCATAATGCGGCTGGAAGGATTAGGTCAGCGCTCGTACCAAGTCTCCATTGAAGTGAGGTAGCGGTCCAGCTTTCTGGAAACACACATTTCTTTGCGATCTGTCGAAAAGTGTCGTGAGCAAAGAGAGCTAGGTAGCCAATGGATATTTGAGGGGCATCATTTATGTGGTCTGTAAAAGAGAGAGGACAGGAGGGCGACTTGTGGCACTGCTGTTTCTATTTCTTTGGTTGTAAATACCCTCAATCGAAGATCTGAATATTCTGTTTGACAGAAATGAGGTAATTAGCGTGGTATTTAGTAAAGTAAGTAAAGTTGCCCCTGTGCTTAACTAATTAAGAACTATACCATGAAGGCTTATGGGAGAGTGGATGTATAGATCCACATTTTCTTGAACTCGGCACTAGTTGTAGATGAGTGGTCAGCTTCACGTCTCTGTCGCTTTATCCCCGAGGAACTCTCTCCCCGTACCCATTGGATAGGAACATGGGTGGGCCCCAGATCCGGTCTGGACGACGTGGAGAAGAGAAAATTCTTGACCCTATGGGGAGTCTAACTCCGACCCCTCGGTCGTCCAGCCTGTAGCCAGTCGCTATAGTGATGGCGCTGTACTTATGTAAATTTAAACAATAAGCTTGGGTGCCCTTCTCTATCTAAGACTTTTTCGCCATGCAAGAGTATCGCATCCGCAAGAATATCTGTCGAAATTTAAGGTCACCCTGTCCACAAAACTTGGAATATCTGTCACCCTGTGATGAGCATGGAAACGAATACTCAGGTCCATTTCTTCGAAATGTCTTTTGGCAAATTTCGGAATGGCTTCCTCGATCAGTTTGCCGGTCTGGGCAAGAGGCTAACAAAACGTAAATTTTGGGGGGACTTTACGCATCCTTGCAAACATGTCGGAACATATGGTTATGTAATGATAGGATAAATATGTTAGACGTACCAGGCACCTAAGGCGTTCATTGCGAATGTTGTCAGATCCAAAGGCCTTTCTCACTTCATAAACTTTATTCATTTTTGCACGTCACAAGATCTTACTCTTTCAGAGGGGTTGTCTACACACAGCTTCGAGCAGAGCTTGAGCTTCAGGCTCCACCCCCCACTCATGTCTCCTGTCACACAGGAATCGAGCAGGGGAAAACCGTCAGTGATACAAAAGAGGAGGGTGAGTGCTGCGTCTAAGAGTGAATCAATGGAGGCACTTCTTACGTATTTTTGCCTTAGAGTTTTTCGCACAGACAGGTAATTCGTCCGAAACGTTGGTGAATATTTACCAGACTATACGACCACATCCCAGAAGACAGTAATTGCCATTTCTGTTGCAGCTGCATGACGGCAACAGAGTCAGAGGCGAACTTGTTGCAGCTCTGTACGAGGTAAAGAAAGAGGTGTTGTACCAGAACACGTTTAGTTGAATGTCGCTTTTATAGTTTATTTAAAGACACGTGCAGTTCAAATGTAGCCTCGAATGAACAGATGATGGTGAACAGGGAACTGAAAATTATGTGGATGAAAGCTTCCGTGGCCTTAATTAGGGAATTACCTAGCTATTTGGGCGAAGGGACGAAGGAAAACAGCCAGAAACTAGTCAGGTTAATCGATGTTCTATCCAGGACTCGAACCGAACACTTCCAGAATATAAGTCAAAAGCGTTATCGCTTGAGCTATCTTGCTCGTTACTCTGAGTCGTGATGATGTTTACGGTGTGATGAGGGTGACCCAGTTCTGATGCTCTCATTGCAGACCTAACCTTCTGCTGCTGCCGGGCTTTAAATTTAGATGCTCTGCTTGCCACCTGAAGCACTGCTGTGGACACGGCAAACGGCACAATCTCGAAGTTCGTAGGTCATGAGTAGAGCATAGTCATCCTTGCTCTCTTATTTTCCAAGACACAGTTTTATTCTACCTTCCTCATTCATGCGGAAACATACATTTACATTATCCCTTCTCTGTTCCTCCTCCCTTAAGAACTCTCGAATTAATAGAGGAATTTTGATGAAATTTGTCATGTCATTAAGAATTTCACCATCATCAGTCATTACTCAGTTTTTTCCCCCTTGGCACTACAGCCCCAGTGGACATAGGCCTACCTACATGAACTTCTCCGTTCACCATTACCCAGCTATCTCTCATAAAAAAGTAAAGTTGTCCTTGTGCTTAACTAATTAAGCACTATGCTATGAAGACGTATGGTGGAGTGGATGTATAGACCCATGTTTTCTTGACCTCGGCACTAGCTGGAGGTGAGTGGTCACCTCCACGCCCCTGTAATATTTTTTTTCTTGGCACTACAGCCACAGTGGGCCTAGGCCTACCTCCATGAACTTCTCCGTTCACTTCGGTTTTTCTCGATCTTACACATACGGTAGGACTCCTTGGGCGAGTGATCAGCTCGTCGCAAGGCCACTACCTGTAGACAAACACAGAAAAAAAAACACACAAACATCCATGCCCTGAGTGGGATTCGAACTCACGATCCTGGCTTCCGAGCGATCGAAGACAGTGCATGCCTTAGACCGCTCGGCTACCGTGACCGGTCCCCGTAGTTTTACCCCCGGGAAAAGAGCCCCCGATACCCATTCTATAGGAGGCTGGGTGGGCCACAGAGCCGGTCTGGAAGAAACGGAGAAGCGAAAATTCTTACCCCACAGGGACTCGAACTGCAATCCCTTGCTCGTGCAGCCCGTAGCCAGTCGCTATACCGACTGAGCTATCCCGGCTCTTAGTTTTCTCTCATAAATAACGTAAAACTGGCGGCTCTGAGAACTTGCATGGTAGGAGCGACGTAGCACCCCTTAGTGTGAATGGATTTGGCATCTGTAGCTTTTGTTGAGGTAATTCCTATTTCAGAACATAGACAGTACACACAAGATCACGCCCGCCCGAAATCGTATCCAGGTTTCGGAATCAGAGAGCTAACTAACCATGGATAAAAGCAGCTGACATTTTGTGAGGAGATAAACCGTGGTCATACCAATAAAACAACAATTTTGACAGTCTGAGGTTATGCCGAATTTAATGTGTTAACAATCATGAACCTTGTGACAGTTTGAGGTTATATAGGGCAAATATAAATGTATTAGAATCAGCAGACATTACTATAAAGTCCACGTATATAAATTTGGGGCACCCGGTAGCGTAGTTAGTTGAGGCACTATGCTACAAGCCGGAAGGTCGCGGGTTAGAGTCCCGACTAGTTCTTTGGGTTTTTCAATTGTCCTAACCTTTCCATCAGCATCATGGCCCTGGGGTTGACTCATCCTCTGACAGAAATGCATACCAGGAATCTTCCTGGATGGTAAAGGGCGGCCGGTGCGTAAGGCTGACAACCTTACCACCATTTATGAGCCGACTGTTTAGAGAAAATGTGGGAGCCTCGACGTCTCACAACCCTATGGGCCTTCAAGACTTGTTACAGGGATGTTTTTTTTACCTTTACGTATACAAATTATTACTAATTATTTCCTTCCTTATATATACACGTATTCTTTGGTATCATCGTCATGTGAATGACGCATAGTAGGACGTGAAAGCAAGGTTAAGTCCATCTTAGAACTTATTGTACTTGCTAAGGGCGCGCCATAGCTCAAGCGGTTAGTCGCTGGCTTTCCACCGCGGCGCCCCGGGTTCGAACCCGGGTCTGGTCAAGTGGGATTTGTGTTGGACAAAGTGGCGCTGGGGTAGGTTTTCTCCGAGTACTTCGGTTTCCCCTTCCAGTCTTCATTCCACCAAATTCTCCATCAATATAATCACCCGGGGCAGGTACAACAGGCCAAAGAGTGGCCGACGGGCCAAGTGGGCCCAGTTGAACTCAACCCCCCACTACGTGAATAACAAAATAATATTCTCCTTCCCTCACATTTACACCCTCTGGCTGCATTTAACCTCCCTCATATGCATGATACAAACACTACCCATTTCACTGTTCTTGAGTGTTAACATATTCAGGTCTCATTTTACTTTCTCCAAATGTTCACAACAAGGTAACTTCGCAATAGCATCGTGTGCAGGAGGCTTGTGGCATATGAAGTATCCATTGGGGCGTGCTTGTAAATGTTATTCTGGCGAACATGCTCAGAGAAAACAGAAAGAAGAGGGAGATACGTTCACTAACGTGTAATATTAACAGACAGTCTTTGACTAGTGCGAGACGTGCGGTGAATATCCGAACTAGAGTTCAAAAAAACTTTTGACGTCAATGCAGTATCAGATGGCACAGAAAGGAATTCAGACTGTTCTCTGATTTTCCCAGAATGAGTGAGAATTACTTATATTTCTTTATTGTGCATTCAAAAACATATAAATTACACTGGACGCCTACTAAACTTGATACTAATGGTGAACCTGGCCGAATTAATGACTTTTAATTTGGTTACGAGTGAATCACTTAGTTCCTTCTACATCATTTCTGTCTTCTAGAGTAGCATGAAGCTACGACTTCAACCTTACACCGATATAAAGCGGCCTCCGTAGTCTAGGGGTAACGCTCCCACTTCGTGACTCAAGGTACGCGGGTTGAAACCCGGCGGAGGTCGTGGAATTTATTAGGGCGGAAAAATTCAGGGAACAAGTCCTCCGTGGGTCCTGTGGCGTGGTAGCTTTACGGCAAGTAAAAGAACCTCATGTCTCAAGGGGACCTCTGAGCCAAATTCAGGACATTTC